TGACGGACAGGACACCGCCAGGAGGGGGTGCTTCACTGGACAGAGCTAATTCCCAAGACAACCAGTAGGAGGCGCCAGGTGGTGAGTCCCAACCCTGTCACAATCTAATAATAATTTCTCACTGTTATTCTCTCCACGAAGGGGAACTTGTACTGTTCAGAGTAGTTAGCATTATATTCTTCCAATCCTCTAGAGAGATTTGCTGGTTTATTTTTTCCCCACCTTCATTCACTTTGTCAATATTACCTTGTATTTCTGTAGCAAAGAGTGCATCTGGGGTTTGATATCCATACAGATATTTAAAGCATTATACATATTTAACTTGCTCAAGAGGAGAATGCCTGGGACAACGTATTTGCTCTTGACACTTAAGAAACTGCTAAAATAGCAGCTCTGAAAATACCAACTAGACTTGTTCAGTGATTCTTTCAACCTTCTCCATACTGTAAAAGGATGCCCTTTTCTACACCCCTGGAAGCCCTCTCCCATGTAGCTGGGACTACCCCCACCATCCATTTAGTAAATAAGGGAGGACTGGGGTGGCTGCAAACCCCTGACACCTGTTTGTGACCTCCCAGTTGAGAACTCGTGACTTAAATGGACATAGAGAAGGAAAATTACGTAGGAGAGGAAGGCAGGGTAATCTTGAAGTTAAGGCACAGCACTGGGAGGAAGAAGATCAAAGTTCTTTCCCATGTTCTATCCCAGGCCTTTGTGTGACCATGGTCAAGCCACTTAACCCTCTGTTTCCCCATCAGTAAAATGGAAATAATTATATTTACTTATCTTTCTAACAGGGTTGTTGTGTTGTGAGGCTTAATTTGTTAATCTGTCAGGCACTTGGAGATATGCAGATAGAAGTCCCTGTAGAACCACAAAGTATTATTAATTATTATTATACATCTACATTTTCTAATATATCCTCTTCGGCACTCACGTACACCACTCACTGTTGGTGAATTTCCATCCTGTAGTTCAATAACAAAAGAAAAACAAACATGCAAGAAGATCTTATATTAATTTGTTTCATTTAATTTTCTGGCATGACTTTTGTCCCTCATGAGATTTTATGCTGCAGTATCTTCATTTAAAATCTTTGTTGCATTTTACTTATAAATATAAAAAAATACAAAAAGATACAGGCAAGATATATAATGAACCAATGACACATCCATAAGGTACAATATAAAAATAAAATAAAATAAAAACTGTATAGGAAAACAGGGAATGAATTTAAAAATCCCGAAAGTAGGAATTTATTTGCACTACAGACAATATTAAGTTCTTTCATCTTTTCAACCTCTAGGGGGAACTGTGTTTTCAGCAAACCCTCCCCCAAGAATTTTCTTAATCTAGAGCAGGCTTCAGAAACTGTTCTTAATGTTAGCTGGAGCTGAATTTAGGAATAAAGCCTTCCAGAATAAAAAGCACAATTCACTGTAATGCTTTGAGTTGGAACAGTGATTCTAATCTTGATTTGTATGCATGCTATTCTGGGAGGAAAATACTGTTTCCATAATTACCTTAATCCTAAAGGGCCAGATTCCGAAATCCTCACTCTTATTGTAGCCAATGGACATTTTGCCTGACAAAAGATTCAGGACTGTATGAGTTGGTCCTATTAAAAACATGTATGTAGTTGAAAGAACTAATGTCTGCTCACTGGAAAACAATTTTAGATTTACAGCCCTGGAAAATGTTTGCAGCCGTACTGTATTTGTACTCGTGACAAGGTAGATTAAGTGATAGATGTAATTTGGATCAACAATAAATTGTTACACATAAGCTTTTGACTCCAAAAGATCCTTGTGCTCTAAGGGCCTGATCCAGAAATGTTTACTAAAGCCAGACTCCCACTAGTTTGAATGGCAGTGTTCATGTGCATAAGGGCTGCAGGTTGGGGCCTAAATCCAAGTCTATATCTATGTATGAAAACTGGCTTTCAAACCTTGTATTTTCCAGTCTTCTTTTTTTATCACTTTTGTCCTGTATGCTGAGTAGTACCTTATTCCCTGAGGAGTAGTCAAAATGAATAAGGATGGCAGACGTGTGATTTGTTTGCTTATCTTTTCCTTATTGACACAATTCATGCTAGTTGAAATAAGATGGCTCTCAGACAAACTGCAGCACACACAAATGAAAAAGAAAGATACATTTTGAAAAAAAAAATCGAAGCGATGTTGCCAGGTTGCAGTATCATAAACAGACATATAGGGTCAATGGAAAGCAGTGGCTGGAAAGGCAACATACAAAATGATCTTCAGTAGGGTGGATGTATCTGTAAACTTTAAAATCATTCTGAAACCAAATTAAGTAATCAAATAATATTTTAAATGCACATTTTTCAGGCGAGTTACTTGTCTTTGAATTTCTACATCTTATTTTTGACTGATCTCCATTAGATAAATATTCCAGGAAAATATTCTGGTGAATTTTTGATTAGTTGATTAGTTTTGATTAGAAAGAAAATTGTTTATTGGACCTTTTAAATTCTACTGCTTAGTTTAATTGCATTAAAAGCATGTGCAGTTTCCTCTTGGGTTTAATTCAGACTTCATGTGCTCTTAAAGATGAACAGCTGGGTTCCACTAGGAACCAAAGTCTCCAATTTATACTCTGTACAGTAAAGGCAGCAACTATTTGTTTATATACATTGCCCTGACAGTGACCTCAACCCTGAGTTAAACAGACCCCTTCTGTAAGGTGAGAAGCAGTTCACTCACCCTACCAGTTCAACCTTGGGCCTCTCATTATAAGCATAAAATGTCAAACTGTGCAGGATTACTCTGTGTGTGCAGACGTGGACCACTGACCATTATGGAACATGCAAAATCCACAGAGATTTCACAGTTGCAAGTGATGAATGCAGTTAGTCCCCCTCTCCATTCTATTTGTATCCTCCTTCACTGTATCATTTTTAACTCTTTTCAGTATTTAATGTTGAGAATAGTTTCTTATTCAGAAAACGATCATCCATTTTCAAGTGGCATTTCCAAAAATTCTGAAGTTATAGTTGCTTTGTTAACAATACATATAAAAACAAGTGTTTTTTTTTCTTACCATGGGCAATAGCTAAGTAAATAGTCAGAGTGGTGCCCAGACTACTTAACAAGTGAATTTTTCACACCAAAACAGTATTAAACAAACACAATTCTCTGAATACAAGCTCTTTCCAATGAAATAATATAATTGAAAAATGAGTTTTGTTTTGCTTTTAATTACACACATTTACTGGGGCACAAAGTCTTCTGCAGAATTAAATTTTGCTGGTTAAGCCCAGCCTGTAATGAGGGGCAGCGTGGAGCTGCTGTGTTCTAGGGGCCACACCGAGTGGCACAATGTCTCCCAGAGCTCCACAGTTGCATGGGGGGGGATTGGGAGTGTTTAATATGCTACATACCTTTAAATGGGGTAACCAGATGTTCCGTTTTTAAAGAGACAGTCCCGTTTTGGGGGACTTTTTCTTATATAGGTGCCTATTACCCTCCACCCTGTCTCGTTATTTCACAGTTGCTATCTGGTCACCCTACCTTTAAAGGAGGCAACATGCTTCTCACTTGCTGCCGACCAGCTCTGCTGGAGTTTGTGGGGCACAGCCAAAGTCGTACCTACTCCCTGGAAGTATCCTCTGGGCATCCCAGAGTGCTAGGGTTTCAATTATACCCCTCCCCATGAAGGCTGTGCAAACGAGAAGAGTTTCTTACCCTCCCCGAGCCACAGAACAGCCCGTGTTAATGTTGGGACAGATTCTGCTAGCTTTTCCCACATTGGTAGCCCACTGCTTTCCATGAGACTGCCTGCGGAGTAAGTAGCATGGATCCCGCGCGTACACGGTCCATCACCCATTCTCAGGCTGAGTTGTACGTTACACCAGGAGTTGTTCCGTTCAGTGTCAACGGGCATGCTCGTGCACTAAGGTACCACTCAGGCACACTCGGCGCAGGAACAACCCGCCAAGGAGAATACCGCTGGATTGTCTGGGATTCTGCGGGGGGGAGCAGCTACTGTGTCTCTCCCTTCCAGTTCCTATGCTGCTAATACTAGCCCGCGCGCTTTCTTCCATTGCTGCAGAATAGCGGCACGGTGCTTTTGCCCAGAGGGGAGCTAGGAACGCTTCCCTTTCGCCAGCTTTCAGCAGGGGCAGCAGCATTAAAAGGGACCCCACCCGCTGTTGCATGAAACGGCTATTCTAAGTAGGGGTTTTGGGGGGGGGATTCATTCATTCGGAGGGCGGCTCCCAGTCCTGCAAACCGGGCTTTTAAAACACGCTCGGTCTCCTGCACGGCCCCAGGTGGCTCCGCATCCAGAGTTACAGCATTACGGGTTACTCGCTGCATCCCCAGCTCCTGACTTTAAACGGGTCTTTTGCACGCCGTGTTGGGACACGTGCACGGTGAAGAGAAAAAGAACGATCGCATCGAGGGGATTTTCAAAGTCCGGACTGCAAGGGTGAGCGCGACTTCTCAGGCAAGCAACAGCCGAGCGGTGTCTCTTTATTTCCTACCCACCTCTCCCCTTGCTCCAGGTTTGCAGCGCCCTTTGCAGCCATTGCTCATCAGCGCGCCCCTGGGCCAGATGTGGGCTGGTTACAGAAAGAGGGGCGGTGGGGGGGGGGGGCCGGGATTTTGTTTGGGGGGGGGGGGGGGCGGATCAGCCCTGCAGGAATGCTAATGAACGACTCCTCCCCAAACACAAACCCGGCCTCGCAGCGCCATGTGTGGCAACAGGCGCGTTGGCTCCCACACTATTTAAACAGAGGGCTATAGACCAGCGAGGATCAATAAGATCAGCCAGGAGGCAGAGCGTGGGGGAGGAAGATGCCCCACCAATAACAAGTTGCTGGGACAGTTAGTTAACCTGCCAAACACCCTTAAAAATCAGCCACCCAACAACCGAGAGAAAACCAGCAGCTCCCTCTTACCCCACGGGCTAGCGATCTCTGTATTAAAGTGTGCGGGGGGAGGAGGTTGGTAGCACTGTCTTGTTCTGTGCAGGGCACACAGGGGGACTCGGAGGCAGCGGCGAGAGGGGGGAGGGAGCTCACTGCTATTGAAACAATGCCATCCTTCTTCTTACTTAGCGTCCCCTGCATCCTGGTGGCTTGGATGCTCCTGGCAAGCAGCAGCAGCAGCCCGGACGAGGAGAAGCTGATCAGGGTCCTGGTGCTGCTGCCCAAGGACAACTCCTACCTGTTCTCCCTGGCCAGGGTCAAGCCAGCCATCGAGTACGCCGTGCGGAGCCAGCAGGAGAACGGGACCTGCCTGCCGGGCTACCGCTTCGAGGTCATCTACGAGGACTCCGAGTGCGGCAACCGGGCGCTCTTCAGCCTGGTGGACCTGGTGGCCCTGAAGCAGCAGAAACCGGACCTGCTGCTGGGGCCCGTCTGCGAGTACGCGGCTGCCCCGGTGGCCCGGCTGGCCTCCCACTGGAACCTGCCCATGATCTCGGCTGGGGCGCTGGCCACCGGCTTCAGCACCAAGACGGGCGAGTACTCGCACCTGACCCGGGTCTCGCCCGCCTACTCCAAGATGGGCGAGATGTTCCTGGCCCTGTTCCGGCACCACAAGTGGAGCCGGGCCACCCTGCTCTACAGCGACAACAACCAGGAGCGCAACTGCTACTTCACCATGGAGGGGGTGCATGTGGTCTTCCAGGAGGAGGCGTTCCCCATGGCCGTGCACAGCTTCGACGAGAGCGGCCGCTACTTGGACCTGGACGAGATCGTGCGCTCCATCCAGGCCGGGGAGCGAGGTGAGTGAGCCAGGGGCAGCACGGGCACCCGCGGGGGGGAAATTCCCCCTCCTCTTGTCCCGATCACACCCCGCCAACTCCACTGGAGCAGGACACCCGCCCGAACCTCCCCTGCCCCCTGGCTGGAGCATCCCGCCCCAGCCAGGGCTGTAGCCCCGCTGCGTCCATCGCCTCCCTCCAGTGCCTCCGGGTGGAGCTTTGTCCAAACCAGCCCCCCGTCTCCGCTGAAGGAGCCGTGGCCAAATCATCACCCACCGGTGGAGTTTAGTTAAATCGCCGCAGTCCCCTTCCACCCCCCATCGATGCAACCGCCGTAAAAACCTGGCCCAAGCGCTCCCTGCCCAAAGCCCTGGGCCAGTCTCCCAGAAAGCGCCTCGTGGGTGGAGAAGCGTAGTGCAAAGCCCCCTCCTGCGGCCGTGCAGAGGAGCTGCGGCTCAGCCGCCGGTCCGGCCCCAGTTCGCCGCCGCCGCCCTGCAGCCCGCTCCAGCAGTGCCGCACGGGTGTGAGACGCTGTCAGATCCGCGTCTGCAAAGCAGCACCTCGCACTGGTGCACCGAGAATCAATCTCCCGGTGTCTAGGAGAGCAGATTTCCACGGGCAGTCAGTCCTTCCCATAGTGATCTGCAGAAATGGGGACCATACAAGCCTCCCCCTTTCAAGCAAAGAGACAACGTTGTTTTAAAGCTGGGGAACGTCCGATAAAGCCCTGACTGTGTGCAGCTTGTGAAATGCGGGCACTGGGGGCGGGGGAAAGTCATTGCAATAGGATTACTATGCCCTGATGCCACAGCGGTTTATTCCCACGTTGACTGCATGTAAGCGGGAAACATTCAGGGGATTCCTAGCTTGCAAAACATGACGCCCAGAATTCAGTCCCTCCAGCCAGTGGCTTGTTGAACGCATTCACAGTCCCATTAAGTAACGCGGTCTCCCATATACGCTGTGCTCCTGAGTGCTCTCCAGCTTCCTTAGCTGGGAATGAGGGTGTGCAGTGAGCTGTGTTTTTTCCGCCATGCAGTCGTTCTAGTGCTGTGCACCTGAACTGGGGGAGATGGAGGGCGTAGGTGCAACGTGTTGACAGAAGCAGCCGGTGTATCAGTACCGGCAGCTTGTCTGATCCGTAAGGCAGCTAGTGAGACATAGCCATTAATTGTACCCGCCTGCATTCAGCTGGGGCGACACTGATAATCTGTCTGAAAGTAAAGCAAACTCATCGCGGAAGTAACACGGTGAAATGTATGTGTGTGTTGGTAAAGCAGGTTTGCGTATCAAGGCTCGGAAGCAGAATAATCCGAAATTCAAAGCAGTATGCGCAAGAAATGATGAATAAACATGACTATGAAAATACACAGGATGAGATAAAACTTTGGTCCAGAATGACTTAACCCTTCAGGCATTACTTTGCTGTTTATCGCCTGTTGCAACTAAATCCTCGAGTATCTTTTTTCAGCTAGCTCTTTGCATGTTTTGCATGCTGCATGCATTTTCTGTGTTAGAGAGGGTATTAGTTATGTTTCCTCAGGTATATAATAGCAAACATGCCAGAGTCTTTTTTTCTAGCGCTTCCCCTAAAACGTGACACATTAAAAATGTGTTAGTTGTGCATAGAGATAAGTAAGAGATTTTCTAGGCAATTTTGTTGTGTATGCTGTGCTGCAAATATTTCATGTTCTGTGCTTTCAAGTGGCCACTCACAGTATCGGCAGGGTAGATCTTTTGTGTCGTTTCCTGTTTTTATTCAGATCGGGAAGTTTTCTCCGTTCAGGTCTCTCACTGATGGCTTTTAGGCTTTTAGTTCAGCACTGCGGTAGCTATCAAAGGAGCCAGTTATGCAAGTGGTGGGGGTGGGATATACACTGCAGAAGCTTTACACTGGCTCTGCTGTGTTACTCATTGCATATGTATGTCCTCTGTTATGCAGAGACATCTCAAAGGGCAGATTTCACTGTTGGTCTGGGGCACTTAAAGACTCATTGACTAATTCTGATTATGGATCTCTCTCTCACACGCGCACACACAGAGAGATAGTATACCAAATAATCTAAATGCCAGAGTAAAAGAAACATGGAATGCTTGTGTGGTGTGTTTGAGTATGGAAAATTACATGTGGTTTCTGAGTAACCTGCTTAGAACTTGTAGGGAACTCTCCCCGAAATAATTAATGTGGACATATAGTTCCTTTAAGGTTATATTTAAAATATATTGAGTCTTGCACCTCCTTACACCAGGCTGAATTTGGCCCAGCATCTGAGCTGTATGGTATTTTGGCTGATCATCCTCATTAGCAGGGATTAATGCAGATAAGGGTAGTTGAGACCCTGGAGGTATTGGGAGAGGGAGGACACTTGAAAGGGGTAATATTTTGCCCAGCTGACTGTCACATGTTGAAAAGTTTGGGCATGATTCTGTTCCCAGTGAACCCGCTGACTTAGATGAGAGCAGGACCAGCACCTTTGGGTGAAATCCTGGCTCTATTGAAATCAATTTGAATTTTGCCATTTACTTCAGCGGGGCTAGGATGTCACCCGTTTGTATTTATAGTAGAAATCTGATTTATTTCAACAAGCTGCATTGCTAACAAGAGAGAAAACACATGTATCTGCCAAACCGCAGATTTTTGGATTGGACAGCAGATCTGTTGCTTATCCTGCAAGTTTTTGTTTTAGTGACTCTGCATATGTTCAAAGGTTGAGCAAAGAAGTTTTCCTCTCATCCTGCTAAGTCTTACCATGGAGATTTCCTCCCCCCTCCTTCCATTTAGAAGCCCCGTTGAGTATTGAATAAATAACAAAAACATTTTGTGGAAGCAGCTAGCAGGGGAACATGTGAATTCCTCACTCTTGCATGTGTGCAGTAATTTTGCAACCAACTGTTAGCAAAACAACAGGGAGATAAGTGGCTTGTAAAACATCTTTAAAAAAATTACCCTTAGGCTGGATGAATTGATTATATATCATATAATAGCAAAAAGCATGAAACATAATAGAACAACCCACCTATTTAGAATGCACTGGATTAATTGCAAACTTGAATTAATTACTTATTAATTTATTCATTTGGTACATAAGCATATTAAATGATATTTCCCTGCTACAGGCAATGCTAACCTGGGAAATTTTTTTGTTAATTGCTTCTTGAAAAGAAAAACAACCAAAAAAAAAAAAGCAGAAACATGTCAAAATATTCCAAGCATGCACTGTGCACTAATTGTTAGTGGATCAAGTTAAAGAAACTCCTTCCCTAAAACTGACTGGAGATTTAAATTTTAAAATATGCACTTAAAACTATTTTTTTAACTCCCAGTTAAATAGAATCCTATTGAGTGATTTTTTTTTTCCAAAACAGATACAAATCACGTTCCATATAACCCCAATGCAGTCACTACATAGTATATTTGTACTGATGCAGTGTATATGCTTTAGGACTTTGCACTGGTGATATAGTTACACTGGTGTGAATTTCCTGAACTCACAGGGCCTATGAGATAATTGGTACCAACTGATGGATTTTTAATATCTCATTCAGGAGAGCACTTAAGCAAGTGCTAAAGTTGAACAGAGGAATTTAAGCACTAGTTTAAGTGCTTTCCTGAATGAATAAGATGCAACAAATGACAGCTAGCCAAAATAGCCAAGCAGAGAGAGGTTTCAGAGTAGCAGCCGTGTTAGTCTGTATCCGCAAAAAGAACAGGAGTACTTGTGGCACCTTAGAGACTAACAAATTTATTAGAGCATAAGCTTT